AGATAAATATTTTAGGCTCCATGGTCACACAGGGTCTCCCTTTAAGAGTTTAAAACCACTCTTCATTCTCAGGCTGTCCAAAAACAAGCCAGGGGTCATATTTGGTGGATGGGCAATAGTTCACCAACTTTTGTCCTAGAGTTGTGGTTCTGAAGCTTTGACACCCTTAAAAATTAGTGAAGATTCCCCAGAGGCTTTCTTTACATAGACCTATTAATACTGACAACATTAAATTTAAAACACAAGCATATACAAATCCCATTAGCATGCAAGTAATAGCCTCAAATATCACGTAACATAAAAACCCTATGGTGAGGTCACAAGAGTGAGTCAAAAAGGTAAATGACGTTCTAATGTAATCACAGAAATTATTTTGACCTCAAAGGGTCTTAGGTACCCCAAATCACACTCTGCAAATCATTTTTCTAGAGGATCCCCTGAGCCTAGCTCAGCTTCATCAATCAAGGGAAAAATACTAACAAGAAATAACGGCTTTTTGTTCTCCAAGAGTGCAGCAAACACCAGCAGCCTTCCCAAGCTGAGGTCTGGGGCAGGGCGCCTGTTCAAGGCTGTTCTAGCCCCCACACAGGGACACCGGCTTCTCCCTGCTGCCCAGATAACCTTCTGCTTTCAACACCCACCCAAGCCCACTCACCAGAGCCGCGAAGTACTCAGTCTCTGTCTCCTTCCCGCCCTGGGAGCGAATCACCTCGGTGACGGCAGCCAGAACAGCACAGATCTATACAGGAGGGAGAGGAACCCAAGACATCTACTTTAGATCTAACTCCCCCTCGAGTTAGCCTCTTTTCCTTGCTCTTCAGAAAGCCCAGAGATAGATGAGCAGAGCGGCACCGGAGCCAGGAGTGCACAGCTCAGGCAGCCAGGAGGAGGTGTCTGCTGACCAAACCCATTTCCCCCCAGTTGGCCTCCCCCTTACAGAAACACCCGCATAAACATGCTGCTCACTGCAGCAACAAACTGGGACAATTAAACATCTGTTAAGAGGGATTAACAATTCACTATCACTGTATAATAACCAACGACAGGCTCAAGGGCTATATAACTGTTGAAAAGAATGAGGAACAACTACATATGGTGACTAAGAAATATTGTTCAGTGGGGAAAA